AGGAATAATTCAGTCCTTGACATGCTGTATGTATCCCCTGGTTACTGGCTTTTTACCCTAACATAATTCCCTGGGATATCAATAGTTTGTTCCTTTTTATTGCTGAGTATTATTCCATGAAATGCTTCCCGATGCTTTTCATTTCACGTACTTCAAGTTAATATTTTTAAAGCCTTGTGATTAGGTACCCTAAATTAATGCAAAAGTACAACAAGCAAAAAACAGAGGTTAGGAAGCATAGAACAGACAACTTCAACACTAATTTCCTTTTACCGAGTTACCGTGTACCAGCATTAAAAGCCAAGATTTGGAATTTTTAAATAATCATTCACAATTAACATGAGGAAGTGTTTATTTTTTGGAAGGAGGTACTTCACTGTCACAATATTCTAAATTTAAACTTTGAAAATATATTTATGGTCTAATCTTTGCTCTGATTCTGTGTTTGTTGGAGAAACGCTTAAAGATACAAATTTCAACGTGTTTGGTTGCTTTTTTCATAACCCCTTCGTCCAGACAAACTGCTACTTTTGTTCATGTGATCTTCCACTCATGATTGAATTTAGCTGCTTGTGTCTTTTTGAAAATCTGCTCATGAGAGAGAGGCTGTGCTTCATGAATCTTAGATAATAGAGTTAGGACATACAAGGTCTCCTGCATGACATGAAGGGAAGAGGGGCCGCCCGAGAAGAGATGGTGAGGAAGTACTCACCAATAACAAAACTCCTGAGAAACCCTCGTTGATGGGAAATACTGGGAAAACTAGACTGAACTGGTGAGACATCTCATTTACAGACTATTTTCAGAATAGTAAGGTTTCATTTAGTTCTAATAAAGCCTCAACTGTAACAGGCTAAGATACACAGAGGGTCTAGAAAGCAACATTATATAAACCAATGAAAACCATAATTCATGCAAGGCCTAAATGTATAATAATGTGTTACTGGCACAAAAGTCTTTAAAATTGTACGTTTATGTTGAGCAGTGGACATAGAATAAATACTTTCTGTATCCTTTTATTTAAAATTACAGTGTATGCTGGGTCTTCTTTATGGTCATTAAGATGCTTCAGGTTATCAACCCGACACATTCTTTTGAACTTCTTGTTTAACATCAGCAACAAAGTGACAACTACTACTCTGTTACTGCTACTGTTTATTGAGTGCTCCATGTGAACCAGGAACCATGCTGGTCACTTTAATTAATTTAATCCTCACAGTTACCTTATGAGTTAAGTATGGTGATTATTCCCATTGAGAGTCAGGGACACCGGGACTCAGAGAAGTTAACCTGGCCAAAGTCACATTAACCAGGAAAGCTTGAGAGCCAAGAATGAAATTCTGTGTCTAGTTCTTTCAAATTCTAAATAGAGGGGGATAGGAATAATACCTTTTAGGGATATCGATCCAGAAAAGGATATAACAGAGGAGATTCTGAACCACTGATATGAGCCAAGAAATTGAAAACATCAGTGTAAAATATCCAAAGTCCATGGGTAGCTAGAAACTTCTTTACTGCTCTTCTCGTCCTCTGATAATGAATACTCTCAACTGGAAAGGAGGGCCCAGATGAAAAGTACCTTGGAACATGCTGAGTGTTAATCAGCATATCTCTAGATTGCCACATTAAGAAGCAAAGCCCCCTAATAGAAATTTCATCCCAAAAATGTAGTGATAAAGTATATATGTATAAATCTAAACCTGTTTACATAGGCTGATATTTGTTTCAGGAGATATAACTTGGGCATCTTCAAGAATCAAGTGCACAATTTATTTCAAAACCATTCTAGAGCAGTGCCATCCTATAGAACATTCTGTGATGTTAAAACAAATTCCCTGTTCACCATGTCCAGTGCAGTAGCCAATAGTTGCCTATGGCTATGAAACACTCAGTGAGGCCATTGAGGCTCAGGAAGGGGATCTAAAATGTCGTTTAGTTTAAATTTAAATAGCCAGGCATTTGGCTTCTGTATTGGACAGTGCAGTTCTAGAAAGTAAAGGTGTAATTATAACAGATATCATGAAATTCTAAACATACCTTTTCCTTCATTTTCTCATCATCTGTTTCTCTGGGCAGGGGAGTGGAGAAGGGGAGAAAGAAGGAAAGGGTGGTTGTGTCCAAAGGTAAAATCATTTTTAATGTTTGTCTGTCTGAAATTTAGGCTGTGTTTTATTGACAAAATTGAGGAAGGTTGAAGATTTGGCAGGCCTGTCTGTCCCCTCGCCTGTGTGAATGTGTCAGCACCTCATTAATAATGTGTTAAACTGTAAAGGCCCTTTTCCCTCCTACTATGGGCCTATTTTTAAAGAACACTTCAGTACCCCTTTTGCATCTCACGGTGTTTTTTTTTTTTTTTTTTTTTTTTTTTAATTTACAAGTTGCTCTGTGGATTAATTTTAGCACATGTTTTATTTAAATATATCCTGAATATTTCCAAATTGAAATGGGAGAAATTGTTTTGTGGTAGGGAAGTTGTGCTGTGAGTTTTTGAGGAATGTATTAGCTGCTCATTTTCTAGAAATTAAAAGTATGAAGATTCTCTGTATTATCTTCTCTCCAATTTTGATTGGCATTTCAGCCAAATGATTCTATCACACATGTGGCCCTGGTGGTTCTTCTCTTGCCAAGAAAAGAGAAACATATGGGGTATAGTTTTTTTTTTCCTTAACCGTTTTTGACATTTTTGTTCAATGTAGGATTAGATGACAGTGTCTTTGAAAGATACTGAGTATTTTAAGCCTTAAGTTTGTAGAGCTTGTGTCTTACAGGTGCATAGTGAATTATCATTGTTTTTTTTCTTCCTAAGACAGACATCTAGAATAACCACTTTCTGTATTTCCTGACACTGAAAACAGATACGGTTTGGGATTCCTTTTATAGTTTCTTCAGCTAACGACTCCAGTGACCGCTCAATTGTGGTCTCATAGTAAATCAAAATTTCTTTGAAAGACCCAGCTCTGTTATGTAATTGTAAGCCCTAAGAAGTCATCTCTCTAAAAAGAAAGGTGAATTTCTGTTGCCTTAAATAATATTGACTTTGCCACTACATATGATAGTTTTTGAAGGCAAAGTGAGTAGACCGTTTTCTTCTTTTCTTCCTTCTTTTAAATTAACCTGTAAACACATAAGCTGTGTTTACACATAAGGCTGTGTCAGATCTGGTTGGCCAATCATGAATAAAGAGAAGAACCACTCTGCAAACTTCTGCATCAAACGTATGTGTCATCCCCCAAATGATTTGTTCTAGATTGAATGTGGGGTTTCACAGCGGCTAAGGAGAATACTCTGATTCCCTTACTGAACTCTCAACTGTTTCCTATGCATTTTAATAAAGCAGATTTAGAAAACAAAATCAACCTTATGCTACTAGCATGAGTGATGTGTTCATAGCCTGCAATTTGTTGGCATCTTTGAGGGTCTGGGGAAGGCAATTCACCATATTTTGCCAGGATGCACTTAGGTCAACGAGGAGGACAGTGGAACTTTTAAGTATGGAAAGACTGATGGGGACTGGGGTCCAAGCTGACAATTCACAGGCGTAGGCCAGGGCCCAGAGTTTTCCCCTCTGCCCAACTTAGCTGATGAAACATTAGTGTTGCACAAGACTCTTCAGAAGTCAATGCCCACTTCGGCCAACTCGGAGAAAAGGCTTCCTCAGAAACTGAGGCCTCCGTCTGTGCCAATCCTTGTAAGCAGTTCACCTCTTCAGAGGCTAATGCCTCTCAAAACCAAGAACAATTAAAGCGAGAGTCTTTCCAAGCAACTGGGGAATTGAGCAAAATAAATCAGAAATCCTCAGCCTTCGCTCTGGAGGCTCGCCTCATTATGAGAGCAGATCTATTAGCCCTCTTGCCATTGTCTTTCATTTCTCAAGTGAGGTGATTCTAATTAAATTAATCTGCATGTCAATCTATCGGTGATCAATCAAAGAGCCTGAGGTTTCCCCTATGCTGCAGGGTGCTTGCGGCTGACAGGGGCTGATAATGGAGGAAGAAATAAACTGTCGAGCAAAGTTAATTAGTCAACATAATAGGTGGATTAAACGGGAGCGGGCTGATTGCTGTTTCCCGTGTCAAAGCATGAGGTGGGAGCTGAAGCTGCAATTACAGACAATTATTATATTTGGTTGTAAGAGGTCGCATGAATAAACATATCTCTGTGGGTTTCAGTTTTAATCCCTTTCCCCATTTAATATAAGGAGAAGTGTAGGTCATTTCTTCTCATTGTTTTAGTCAAAGTTCTCTGAGACAACATCTTTGCCTGTGTCTCTTCTGGCAAACTCAGTTCACAGTCACTTTATGAGATGGTTTCAGTGTCTAAATTATGCCTTGGGCCAGTCCCACCAGTTTTTTTTTTTTTTTTTTTTTTTTTTTTTTTTTAATTTGAAACAGATTTAGGACCCTTAATTAGCAGGAATTTTTTGGGGTGGGGTGATGGTGATAGTAGTGAGGGGGACTTTGGTCTGATGAACCAAACTAATGTGGAAAGAAAAAAGTACAAGAAATCTCAAAAAGACACCCAGGAGAGAAAAATGCATCCCAGCTCTTACTGAAATCTTTTTCATTTCTCTATCCTCTTAACCCTGACACAGTGGGGGGGAAATATTTTAAAGATTCAAAAGATTTTTATTTGCATGATCAACTGTGATATCTGCTTCAGTGTCTAAACTGAAGGGTAATTTAGGTGAAACACAACTACCCTTGTGTAAAAAAATATGCTAATAAAGATCCTCTTGTTAAAATTATGGTTAACAGTGTACCTTCTGCTGTATAACTATAAACTGTGCAATTTTACTTAAAACTGCATCAAAAGCATTCCATGCCAAAGACCCACTCATCAATAGCTCCTCTTGTTAGACTTGTACAGCATAAGCACCAGTTATTATGTGAAATAGCTATGCAATTTTCTTCAGCTCCCAGCTGTTATTTATTTAACTTGAGTTTATTACCCACCACGCTTTTATATTAAAATGTTCATTCATTTCTTTCTTATGTCTCCAGGTCGTGGTGTCTACGACAGTCAATGTGGATGGCCATGTCCTGGCAGTCTCTGATAACATGTTTGTCCATAATAATTCCAAGCATGGGCGGAGGGCTCGGAGGCTTGACCCCTCGGAAGGTACGCCCTCTTATCTGGAACATGGTAGGCGAATCATTTTCATTGGTTGGCATTGCTACTTTAACTGTGAATATATTTGATTTCTTTCTTCCACTCTACCACATGTTCTACTCTGTTTCAACTCTCAAAAGTCTGTTTGAATACTATTGGTCCTCCGGGGCTTTTTCTCTTCAACATGTGATGCCAAATATTTAAAGACAGGAAAATATCTCTGAGGCCCATCTTTCTTGTGGGACCACTCTCTACTCTGGAAATGGCTAATATTGCCTCCTTTCAGGTTGAGAGAAAGAAGGAGGCCTGGACCATTGCTTTATTCTAAGCTCCCACTGGATTACAAAATAAGGAAAGGCCAATCCAAGGGAAAAATAAAGAGATGCCACACAATTTGGTATCACAAAAGTTGTGATGTATTTGACGTGTTTATAATTGACCATTGAGGTTTTATAATGAACCCATCCTCTTTACCATCCTCCTGGTGTATCTCAGTGGCTACCTGTTGAACTTCATTTGGAGATCAGGTTCAATGTCGAGGTTGGAGATGCTTTCTGAATATGAAGCCCAGACCAAATGTTCCTCTTGTGCCCTGTACCTAACTCTCACTTCTTCACCACGTGATAGAACTTGCTTTCTGTAGGTAGACTTTGATAGGGAGAAATCACATTTGTCTTGAGAATTGTGGCTAATCAGTAGTGCTTTTGAGAGGACTGAAGGAAACCAGATAAAAATTTGAATCAAGGAAAGTTAATGCCACTCAGAAGAACCATGGGTTGGGTTAGGGGCATGCCTGAATTTTTCAGTGCTGCATGTGTGTGTAATGTATCCACTCTTCCTCCTCTCCACTCATCCATCCATCCATTCATCTATCCATCCATCCATCCATCCATCCATCCATCCATCCATCCATCCATCCATCCATCCATCCAAGAATGAGTGACTGAGGCTTTACTGGGTACCAGTCACCATATTAGACATTCTTCAATTGCCTCAAACTCTCAACCCATTTCCCTCACTTCCCTTTCCAGTTTGCTAGGTCAGCAAGATTCTTCTCAGAACGCTACCGCACAAATTATCACCTGATTGCCTGTTTTTTTCCATGGGCCAGGAGTTGACCATAATTCACAAGGTAGAAAACTCCCTTCTCTGCCAGCATCCCAATTTAATAAACACACCACTCTCATCATTTTTGCCTGGCTTTTTCCCCTGTGCTTATGGAACACATGAACTGTACTTTTTATTAATTAGCCAGATGTAACACTCTTAGAAGGGATTCTTCACCACGTCCAGTTTTACAGTCTTTTTAAAGTAAACTATCATCTTTCAAAGGCTGCTTCTTTATGGTTTCATTAGTGCTGAGATGGATTGATATTACATTTTGCAGGAGGCCATTTCAAACACCTGCTCATGATTACATTCCTAGTTCCATTTCTGTACTTAAAATTATTCTGATCCTCACTTTACGGTAATGTTGTCTTTATAATACCCTTGGAGTCACTTAAGGCATTGTGTGACTAGAGGTGTTTAGGTGAAAGGAGGAGGAAAAATTAGGGAAATACGGTGGGCATGGTTTGCAGAGTGCTGCTTAAGGACTGAAGTTATGTTTTTGACTGTGGCTGGTTCGTTGCAATAGGTACTGCCCAATCTGGTGACAGACTTGACTGTCAGTTTGAAATCTGAGTTCACACTTTCAAAATACGCTTAGGCCACACCCAGCTCCTATTTCTGCTCTCGGGAAGCCAGTGAGAAAGCTCCTGACACCATGCAAATTATCCCTCCAACAAAACACCCAAAGCAAACATAGAATATAACCCGCTCTAAAGGAGCCCTCTAGGCAATGAGGATCAGTAACATTATTTTGCAGCATGATAAAGGACTAGGTCATGAAATAGGTACCAGGAACCCCAAATTCAATCTTTAGTTTCACTCTGGCCTCTATTTGACCTCAGACAAGTTGCTTTAGCTTTTGGGATCCTTGATTTCCTCCTTGTTAAAATGAAGGTGATGATCTGTAGGAGAGCAACAAAAATCTGTGCTTTGGGTGGGGGCAGGTAATGTAGATAGGGAAGTGGGCTGGGTGGAGGCTGAGAAGACAGGCACGTACACGCTCTGGTGCCCCCCGGCCCCAGCCAGTTGTTGCTAAGGGGATTGAGAGCCCAAGTGGGGCCAGATGTTCCAGTTTGGCAACAATGAATTTTTAATTGTTAGTAACTAATTACAACATTTTTGGACACTGAAAGGAGAAGGGGAAAAAAGCCACTTAGGAAGAATGCAGCCACAGGCCAACAGTTTGAGACCTCTGGATCAACACAGCTATAAGCTTCCTCCCAGCTCAGATGTTCCCTCTTCTAAGAGTATTAATATTTCAGTTGGGATATCGTATTATTCTAAGTTTTAATGACAGCATTTTATTCACCTGCTTCAGTTTACGAGTCCACAAATGGCCATATTATTATAAGATATTATTCAAAAAATGGTGACATTTCACTGTGTGTAAGTGGTTGGCCATCACTGGGGACATAGGTATGTCCTATTTCCCTCATCTAGGGGCCTTGACTTCACCTAAGCCTTACTTCACTTCTCTCCAGTGGAAAGAAAGGGTAGACATGTTCAAATTCTTAGTAATGACAATAACATAGAAATCTGCTTCTCTGCAGAGTGAGTCAACTAACCACACAAAACCACCCACTCATTTAGACACTTCAGGCTGACACATAAATATCTACTCAGCAAAGGGTGACTATTGAACTCTTTCCTTGGTAATGTGTGGGAGTGGACCTAGATGCTAATTCATGTTGATGTGAGGGTAATACTTTATTTTGCTGTTGAAAAGTTCTATTTCAAAATGCTCTGTTTAAAAAACTTTGAGAATCACACACCCTCATCCTTCTGTCTCTCTGCTCCCACCCCCAACAGCCTTCGAATAGCTACCGCATGGTGAGACCGCAAAGCATGTTCTCCTCTTGTGACCTGTGGGAACCTACGTTTTCCCCCATTCTGGACTTTTTATCATCTAATTTACAGGTAGCCTGAATTATTTTGGGCTATTCTGCAAATCTCTATTTATATCCTGCTTGTCAGACCGTTGGAGGAAGTTTCCTTTTGTGGCTCACCTTTCTGCGTATAAGTAGAGACAGAGATCGTGCTTTACATTCATGCGTGGGTTTTCTTATGTGACCCATGGACTCGCAAACCCCTGTGCTCTGATAAATGACCCTGTAATTCAAGTATGAGAGTTGACAAAGGCAAATTTATTTCATAGACTCTTGCATGGTCCACAGATAGTGAATCCTGGCATGCTATAGATCGTGGAAAATGGTCTTCCCCTGTACTTTCTCTTCATTCATAAATACCAAGATTTTCTTTGGCTGGATATTTATGGGACCATTTAGCCTAGTGAGGTTTCTCCTTTAAGCAATAGCTTTATGGAAGATATACAGTTGTGGAGAGAGGCAGCCTCAAAATGTGACTGCTCTCTCGGTTCCAATTTTTGAAAAAGCATGGGCTCGGGATGAAAGGAGCTGAGTGGCTGCCACAAGGCTAAGTTCAGTGCTACCCTGTGTACTTGCCTTGTCTTCCAGTCATTTGGGCAAGTTCATGAAGACTGTGTTCTGGGGAGTCGTTGAGGGGCTTGAGGAGTGTTGCTGTTGGCATTGTTGTTACCCTGAGTTCCAGGTTGTGTTTACTTGAATTCAAGGCCAACTGTGGCATCAGTTTCTCTGTTTCTTCCCCCTGTGGCAAAATGCGGTGCCCTCACAACGCTGTGGTGCAGAGCCCCTGTCAGCTTGCATGTGCTAACACTTTATTATCTAATGATCTAATATGCAACAAGGCAAAGTGCCCATGCTCATCATTCTGACATAGAATGCCGGGAGAAGTGACTAAATTACTTTAGGTACCATTAGCGCTTGCAGCTATGGTGAACTCACCGGCAGCATTTATGCAAATGCCTGTGAATACACTCTAGTGGCTTTGTCAGGAAACCATCTGACAAGCAGTTTAAATGCTCATTTTTTAAAGGGGATATATGTATTTTTTTATTTTGGTGTGCATGTGTTTTTCTCCTTTCCTCTCTTTTTCTTTCCCTTCTCCCCTTTTTGGGCTATTGGAGGACTTGCCTCCTCCATGGTGACTAGAAAAATGTGAGCACGTTCCAGAGCTCACCCATCAGTAGGCGCCCTTTCCAGGAGTGGGATTAAGTTCCCAATAGGGTATTCTTTAGATCTAGTTTCTTTTTTTATTGTTTTGAATGTGTACATCCTTCATATTTATTTGAAAGAAAAGGACCTATTAATCAAGAGTTTTTAGAATATAAACATGTTAGTGTTCATGAGCTCTGACCTGAGGTCCTACTTAGTTTTTTAGATCAAAGTCAGGTTTTTAAAAACATACTCACTTTTCAAAAATGAAAAATGATTGAAATTTAGCTTTTGTGGGCATCAGATACAAATCAATTAAATTTCCCTTCAAAGTTATAATAAAGACTGCAACATAAAACATAAATGGACCAAGATCTCAAGATAAATAAAAACCGTAGTGGAGTTTGGTCACACTCAAAATGTTTTGAAGAATAAAGACTGATGATAGACTCACTGGGCCCATCTCCTGGCTGTGATTACAGCTCTGGAGAAATAGAGTCAGGTGTTCATCACCACCAGTGAATTCTGACCTTTTGGTTGTAGTGTCGCTTTACAACTGTCCCTGACAATATGGAGGTGTTCTTGATCTTTAGCATATGACCTTCTGTAATCCTTTTGATCCAGACAGAGGCAGTTTTTGCTTCTGTCAGTTGCCCCTGGGTATCCAGCACCATTGACTTCCTGTGACCAGCTGCATTTAAATGTGTTTTTTGTTTGTTTGTTTGTTTTTATGTTTTTACGGAAATGTGGAGAAAGATGGTTTGAGCTTAAAGAGATTACCCCAAATTGAGTCAGTCTCTTTTCCCTTCTGTATAATACGGTCCTAACAGGAGGATAGGAGGAGGATCAGGCTGTCTGGCTGAAGAGCTGGATTCTAGTACTGACTGCCAT